GGAGGGCAGTGTCACTGGCCCTCATATGTGGGATCCGAACCGGGGCCCTCTGGCGTCCCAAGCCAGCTTAACCAATGCGCCACTCGGCCGGCCCTCCATCTCAGTACATTTAGACCTCCCTTGTTCTTTTTAACAATTTCCAGAGCATGAATACCATATTATTTACATTGTAGAGATTATTAGAGAAAAGGGTTCTTGAAGCATGCAACACTTGAGCTGGGCCATGTAGGCTGAGATCTGGATTTATTTAAGGGAAGAAGGTAATTCCTAGCTGGGGTAATAGTATGGTTCACAGAGTTCTTAAAGGCATATTCTCATGTAATCTTTATACTACACTGTGACATATAGGTAGTGAGACTCAAAAGAGATGAAGTGATTTGCCAAGGGTTTTAGAAAGCAGGAACTTGAACACAGTTTATCTTAACTTTAAATCCCATTTTTTTCCTACCTGTTGCTTACCCCTAAACAAAATTGTGAAAATAAAGTACTGTAATTCATTGAATATCTACTGGGTATCTACTCTGTCCTAGGTATTATGTTTATATATTTAACCCTCACAACATTGTTGAAAAGGAAATGAAATTATTCCTGTGTTACAGATAAGGTAACTGAGGCTCAAGAAATTAAGTACCAGAGCCTTGATTTGAACCTTGCTCAGTCTGTCTCCAAGGCCTATGCTCTTTCCACTACACCATGTGGTCATGAAGTTTTATTTAAGGACAGATTTGTGATAGGCTCAGGTGACCCAAAGAGACATATTCCAGAGCTCAGAAACACTGGCTACCAGGATATCTGGGGAGCGCCTCTAAGGAGTCAGATTAAGAAAACAGGACAGGGCCAGCCGAGTGGCGCGATGGTTAAGAGCTGGCTTGGGACGCCAGAGGGCCCTGGTTCGGATCCCACATATGAGTGGGTTGCCATGGGCTATCGTGTGTAGCCAACAGCCAGAGTGAGTGGCCAGCAGCTGCCGTGAGCGGCCGTCCAGAAGCCAGCAACTGATCTGCCTCGCCTGGGAACAGCGCAATGATGGTGCCAACTTGGGCCAGTGAAACAACGTCCTCCACAACTAGACTGAAGAACAAAAAGACAGCAACTTGTCTGTTCCCCTTCCCCCAATTCCCCAGTGCTGTT